GCCGCGAATTTTGCCGATTTGGATGCGGCGGCGCGCGGAGGACAGCGTTGAACATATCATCGGTGTCGCGCCCTCCGCCAGTTTCATCGGGCGTCGCTGCGGATGGACGAGGGATGTCTGCTGCCAGCTTGGCTTGGCGTGCACGGGCTGCAGCTCTAGGAGGCGGCCCTGGTTCGTGGGGCCCTCGGCGCCCGCGCTGTGTGCTGCGCCTCCAACGTTGCCCAGGAGCAAGAGGCGCGAGCTTGAACCGGCCAGCGCAATGAGGAGCAGCGCCGCAAGCACCAGCGCTGCGCGCGCGAGCGCGACTGACGACATGTGAGCTGATCGCTTTGCCGTCGGCCGCCCTCGCCAGGCAGCCCGCCGGCGTGCTGCCTGCCCCCCGCCCTGCCTTCCCCCCCCTTCCGCTTCCCTTCTCGAATTTCCGCCCCTTGGCGGGGCGCCTCGCAGGAAGCGCCTGGGCCGTTGCCTTCCGCGGTGATTCTTTTCGTTGCTTGGGGCGCACAGGTGCGCCGATTTTTTGGCTGGCAGCCAGCTGTCTCCAGCCGCAAGCCCCCCCCATGGGCTCCGCGCCCGTGGCAGCATGGGGCCGTTCAATTTTCCTTTCCCCCTCTCCTCCCTCGTTTTCTTTGTTGCCGTCGCCGTCGCGGTCGTCTCGTCATTGTCGTCCTCGTCGGGGAGCGGTCCCTTGTTCCTTCTGGCTTGCGGTCCCCCGCAGGGGAGGCGTCCGAGGCAGCGCCTCTGATTTCAACCGGTTGTTTCCCTGGCAATGTCAGCTTGTGATTAACAAATGAGCCCCCCCCGGGGGGCTGGTGAAAAGACCCCGCGGGGCGCGAAACATTTTTTCGATCGCGGGCGCCTGGGGGTTGTCGCGGGCATCGCCGAGGGGATCGCGTGCCCCCCTGCATGACAGCCTCAAAACGATTGCCTCTCGTATAACAGTTGTGATATGGGGTCGTATACGTCCGAGGCGAATTGTCTTCCCCCTCTCAGGCGTCGTCGTCGTCGTCGTCGTCGTCGTCGTCGTCGTCGTCGTCGTCGTCGTCGTCGTCGTCGACTAACCCCCACCCCCCATAAAGCATCTGCAGTGCGTTATCGTCGTCGTCGTCGTCGTTGTCGTCGTCGGCGTCGGCGTCGGCGTCGGCGTCGTCGTCGTGGTCGACCACAGCGGGGGGCCTACGCAGCACCCCCTCCATGCGGCATCCGCAGAGCGTTGTCGTCGTCTTCGTCGTCGTCGTCGTCGTCGTCGTCGTCGTCGTCGTCGTCGTCGACTACAGCGGGCCTACGCAGCACCCCCCCCGCCCCCCACCCCCCATGTGGCATCCGCACTGCATTGTCGTCGTCGTCGTCGCCGTCGACCACAGCGGGCCTGCGCAGTACCCCCACCCCCCCACAGGGCATCCGCAATGCGTTGTCGTCGTCGTCGCCGTCGCCGTCGCCGTCCGCCGTCCGTCCTCCTCGTCCTCGTCATTTTCCTCGTCCTCGTCGTCGTCATCGTCCTCATCCTCGTCCTCGTCGTCGTCGTCGTCGTTGTCGTCGTCGACTACAGCAGTCCTACTTGTCGTCGTCGTCGTCGTCGACGATTACAGACAAACCGCGACAGACGTGGTGAGGAGGACTGCCCGCTTTGGGTCGGACGAAAGGCTGGGGAACGAAAGGCTGGGGTCGAATAGGGAAAGACAGGCCGCGCAGTTGGTTCCGGTCGCCCTGCTGAGGGGCCAGTTCTCGATGCTCGGCCGTTTTCGGCGCCAGGAGGCGCTCGAAAAATCAGCACTGTGAGCTGCTTGGCAAATCCCAGCTTGGCCACGCCCCCTTTCGTCCAGCCCACCTTGCTCGCAGGCCCGCGAGGCAGCAGGCGCCCCCCTGGCTGCGGCCAGGGCCAAAGAGGCGCATCGGCTCGACAAAAAGCGAACACGGAAAGTGCGGGGGCGAGCGCCGACAGCAGTTCTTTTTCATTTTGAACAGCTGTCGCCCTGGCTCACGGTCCCTGCTACTGCCGCCCTGGCCTCCCGCCCCCCCCTCTCCCAGTCTGTGCTGTTTCAGTCGCCTTCTCGTTGGCGGCCGGGCGTCGGCGCAAATCAACGGCGCCGCCGCCGTTGATTTTCAATCATGCGGGCGCCGCTCCGCGATTCGCCCCAGCAGGGAAACGACTTTTTAAACACGCGCCCCCCGCGGATTTGTTAATCCGTGCCCGCGCCGAAAAACTGCCCGAATTTTCGCCCCTCCCAGCAGGGGTTGCGCGGTGTGCATGACAGGCCATTTTGGGCAACTTCGTGGCGCAACGAAATTGTCACGAAGTTCAGTGCCGCGCCCGCGGGAGTATTGCGTGGCAGCGGGGCCCCTGGCCACTCGTGTTGTCCTCCTCCTCCTCCTCCCTCTTCGCTTCCCCTCTTCGCTATCCCTTGGTCCGGCCTTTGGGGTAGTCCGCGAAGGTGTAGTGCCTTCGATGCTGTTTGTCTTTATGTTCGATTCCCCGTCCACGAGTGTATGCGCACTAGCTGGTAGGCATGAGTTTGTTCAATGCCCTCGAAGTGTTGATGCGTTAAAGTGGTCAAAAGCCAGCCTAGTCTAGGCGCCGGCCTGCTGTCGGCCAACAGCGGCGCGGCCTGTGGCGCCAGTCTCCCGCCAGGCTTGCCTGCCGGGCGCTCTTCCTCGCGGGCCGCTCTACCCGTCGGCCTGTGGCCCCATCGTGGGTGCCCTCGGGCGCATGCGGCTATACCACACTATTCATTAGATGCGACATCGCCAGTTGCATGGTACGCGGGTTTCACGCGACCTTGCTTCTTCTGTTTCGGCACCGAGGCTGTCTGCAGGCCTTTTCTCCCCCCTCCTTCTCGCCCTCCTCCTCCTCTGCCTCTGCCCTCCTCTTTGCCCTCCTCCCCATTTGCGTTGGGCACCAGTGCGAGTCCCGCCCGTATGGGCCGGTATGGGGTACGCATGCTTGGGTTTACACTTCAGCTGCGATTTCATTGAGGCGTCCGCGCGAAGGACGCGGGTCTCTGCTATAACAGTTTGTTTTTGTTTCCACTTGTGTCATTTCGGTTTGTGCGTTTTCCGCCAGTCGTCGCAGCTTGCGCCGGGTGAGACGGGTGGTGTGATGCTCATCGATGGTTCGCGTCCTTCCCTCTCCCTCTCCAGAATAGTTTGTGTTTGTTTGTTGTTGCTGCTGCTGCTGATGTTGTTTTTCTTCTTTCCGTTTTAATGGGGCGCTAGCCTCGGCTAAAGTATATGGTAATCGATGAAATGGCGCCGAGTTCGCGTCCGTTCGTGTCGATTAGCGTCGATTTAGCGTCGACTAGTGTTGGCTAGCATCGATCAGCATCGATTAGCACAAGCCAGCAAGATGATATGTGAGGCTCCCATGGGTTGCCACCACAGAAAGGAGGGGGGGGGTGGCAGCGTCAGCAAGCTGACGGGCGGGGGGAAAGAGGGGGAGGACCAGGCGCGGCCTCCCGCATGCTGTCGTGCCTTGCGGCTCGGGGTCGTCTGCCCCGCCCAGCATGGAGGCCGCATCGAAGACCAAGCCTGCTGCCGCGGAGGGCCGCAGCTCTGACGGGCACCCGTGTGCTGGGCCTGCGTGCGGCCTCGCGGCGCAAGCATCAAGGGAAGAAGCACGGGGACCATGACCAAGGTGTCGCGGGATCTTGTCGATGCCGATCTTGGTCATGGGCCATGTCGGCCGTCGCCGAGTCGCGAGGATGATCCACGAATTCGCGACGTTTCCGCGTTCAGTCTTGGTCATGGCCCCCAGTTTCTCCCCCTGCAAAGCAGCAGCACCGCCCTCGGGAGGCTGGAGGCTCAGACCGCCACGGGCGAGCGCCGCCCGAGTGCTCTGCCGCGTGTGCTTGACTCGTGCGCCCCGTGCTCTGTGCCTGCGGCAGGTCCGGGCCGCGTCGACGCGACGACGACGCCGACGCGGTGCGCTCCGGGTTGAAGGCCATCGGCGGTCTGAGCCTTGCCGACCTCGGGCTTCTTCTGCTGCCGGGTAGCGAGTATCGTTCATGCTTCACGATCTGCGCGGTGTCGAGGACCGACGGCCGCGTCGTCGCGACAGGAGCCGGCAGGACGCGTTTGGCTCCTGCACGAACGCATGCAGTTTCTGAGACGGCCTGGGCGATGTGATGTTCGTGCATGGCTAGGATGTCTCGGATGCCTACCCTTCAGCAGCCGACGGTGGGTGTCCAGGCTGCAGTGCGGGAACTGTGACCCTTTGTGCAGGCCTGCTTGTGCTGGACGGCGACGAGTGCACATTGCAGGCGGCCCGAGAGCAACCCTTGTTTGCAGGGCTACTTCAACCTTTGGCACATCCGTGCGTTCACGTGATGTCCAGCCATGCAGTACGACGCACCACAACGCAACGCAACGCACTGTACTACAACGCCAGCTTGCTGATGGCGATATTTGGCGCATGCCGCAAAGCACTGGTTCCATGCATGGTTTTGGAGAACCTCTGGCGAGACATCTGCGAGCGCGCTCATCAGTGGCGCAGCGTTGTCCCGCGTTAGATTTGTGTCGACGTTTGCGCCAGCATTCGCCCGCTTTCATGGACCGCGTGCTCCGAGGAAAATAGGATGAGAAGGAGGAGGAGGAGGAGGAGGAGGAGGAGAAGGATGTGGAGGAGGAGGAGGAAGAGGAGGAGGAGGAGGTGGAGGTGGAGGTGGAGGAGGAGGTTGAGGAGGAGGGGAGGAGGAGGAGGAGGAGGAGGAGGAGGAGGAGAAGAAGAACAGCAGGAGGATCAGGAGGAGCAGGAGCAGCAGCAGGACCCCCGAGCAGGAACACGGAGGAGGAGGAGGAGGAGGAGGAGGAGGAGGAGGAGGAGGAGGAGGAGGAGGAGGAGGAGGAGGAGGAGGAGGAGGAGCAGGAGGACGAGCAGGAGCAGGAGGAGGAGCAGAGGAGGAGGAGGAGGAGGAGGAGGAGGAGGAGGAGGAGGAGGAGGAGGAGGAGGAGGAGGAGGAGGAGGAGGAAAAGGAAGAGTCGCCGCGCGTTTTGCAGCCATTTTGGCTCCCAAAACCCCCCTGCCTGCGGCCGCGTCCGTCCGGTGTTGCCGCCAGAAGTGCCCCTGGGCCAAAAGGTGGCCCCACCTCGTCCATGGAGGGCACCCCCCTCATGTGACCCACCCAGACAGCCCAGGGGGGTCTTAAGTTTGAGTAGGGATCGACTACATAATTCGTTTACCCCAGAATTGGCCCGCTCGTCGAAAATGATACGAAAAGCTGGGGGCACCTTCGGGTTAGGATTACCTCTAGCGACCCCCCGCTCCAGGGGCTCCTGGCAGCAGGCTGGGGTGCCAATGGCAGCCCGTACGGCCTCGTCGCTCGAGCTGGGGTTGCCCGAGGATCGGTGGGCTTCGAGATTGGCGTCGTCGTCGTCGTCGCCGTCGCCGCCGCCGTTGGCGTCCGTCGACGGCAAAGACGGCGACGGCGACCGGGAGAAGCGGAGGGCTTCAGGTATGTCGAGAAGGGGTGCCCGGAGGGTGGTGGGGTGAAAAAGAGGAGGATGATGAGGAGGAGGAGGAGAAGCAGGAGGAGGAGGACGAAGAGGAGGAGGACCAGTGTAAACCCAAGAGTCATCAACGATGTTGGAATCCACCCTCCCTTCAAGGTCCCTCTTCACAGGCCCCTACCACTGTTCATTTCCATTGAGGGAACTGCCACGTTCGAAGACACCCGTTTGAAGACCCTGAAGCATGCCAAAACATCGTTCTCGGGATTCCAACGCCACGGATGAACCGCACTGTTGCGTCCTGACGATCCTGAATCGTGCCAGAAGGCCATTCCTAGGACTTCAACACAGCGAGCCAACGTAACTGTTGCACACGCATAAACCTGAATCCTTTCAAACCATCATTTTTTGGTAGTTTGATGTTGAAATTCCGTGAGACTCGTGCAGCTTTTGTGAACGAATGTGCGCGGCGCTAAGGCAAGAGCAACACTTTGAAAAGGAACCGCCCTCAGTCCGTGGACCTTTTGCATTTTTTACAACGACCCGTGACAAGGACGCGACTCCGTCGGGCGGCACGAGCACGTTGACCATCATATTCTGCGATGCGATGCGATCCATCTCGACGGAGAGGAGCACCTCACGGCCGTCCGCCACTGTGGAGTCGAGGGCTCACGGTGGTGAGCACCACGTCCACAATCATAGTGTCGGAGTCGCAGTTGGGCGCGGCAGTTCGGCAAACCCCTCCTGAAACCGCCCAGAGGAAGGTTTTAGTTTTTTTTTTTTTTGGGGGGGGGGGAAGGTTCCAGGGATCCTGGAACCTTCCTGAGGAAGGTTTTAGGCAGGTTCCAGTTTTTTTTTTTTTTTTTTTCTTCCTCTTTTTCTCCCAACAACCTTCCAACAACCTTGCTTAAACCTTCGCACAACCATCCAACAACCTTTCCAAACACCTTCCAACAAACCTTCCTACAACCTTCCTAAAACTTTCCAGCAGTCAGCGCAACCGCCCAATACATTCCAAAGACCTTCCAAACACCTCCAACAAAACCTTCCAAACAACCTTCCAATACCCTTCCAAAAGCCTTCCATAACAACCTTCCAAAAGCCTTTGAAACATTTTCAGAAAACAAACTTTTCAAACACCTTCCAACAACCTTCCAACACAACCTTCCTAAAACCTTCCGCGGGAAGGTTCCAGGAGGGGTTGGCCCAAAAACCTTCTAAAAACCTTCCTGAGGCAGCTTTCGGGGAGGTTTTTTTTTGGGGGGAAGTTTCCAGGAATCCCGGAACCTCCCCGAGGAAGGTTTTAGGAAGGTTTTAGGAAGGTTTTTCGGAAGGTTCCAAACCACCGTCCAACGCACCTTCCCAAAACCTGCCGAAAACCTCCCAACGACCTTCCAGAAACCTTCAAACAAACCGTCCAACAACCTTCCGGGGTTGGCCCAAAAACCTTCCAAAAACCTTGCTGAGGAAGGTTTTAGGAAGGTTTTTTTTTGGAAGGTTCCAGAAATCCCGGAACCTTCCTGAGGAAGGTTCTAGGAAGGTTTTCTTGGGAGGTCCCAGGGTTCTTGGGACCTTCCTGACGGAGGTTTTAGGAAGGTTCCAGGAAGGTTTTTTTTCCAACGACCTTCCAACAACCTTCCAAACACCTTCGCCAAATACATTTCAAAAGCCTTCCACAAACCTCCCAAAAACCTTCCAAACACTTTCCAAACAACAGACCTTAGAAACAACCTTCCGACACCCTTCCTAACGCCTTTCTAAAACCTTCCAGCATGTAGCGAAACCGCCCAACACTTCCCAAGGAGCTTCCAAACACCTTCCCAACAAACCTTCCAAAAACCTTCCAAACAAAAGCCCACCAAAAACCTTTCAAACCACCTTTCAAATAAACCGGCCAAAAACCTTCCAGCAAGCTTCCAACAACACCTCCACAAAAGGATTCCTATTGAGAGCCTCTACATAAGGATTCCTATTGAAACCCAATACACATGGATTCCTAGTGAAGGCCTGTGCAAAATGATGCCCATTGAGAGTCTCTACAACAAGGATTCTAATTGAAAGCCTCTACACAAGGAACCCTATTGAAACCCACTACACATGGACTCCTAGTGAGAGCCTGTACACACATATTCCTATTGAGAGCCTCTACAAACATATTCTTATTGAAAGTCTCCACACACGGATTCCGATTGAAAGGCAGTACAAAAGGAGTCTTATTGAGAACCCATGCGGAAGGTTTCCTCTTGAGAGGCTCTACAACAGGATTCCTGGCACCTTCCAAGACAAAGCCCTTCCGAACACATTGCTCAGGAAGGTTCCGCGATTCCTGGGACCTTCCAAACAACCTTCCTGAAACCTTCCTCAGGAAGGTTCCAGGACCCCTGGAACCTTCCAGAAAACCTTCCTCTAACCTTCTCCAAGAAGGTTCTAGGATTCCTGGAACCTTCCAAAACACCTTCCTAAAACCTTCCTCAGGAAGGTGTTTGTAAGGTTTTTGGGCCAACCCCTCGTGGAACCTTCGGGAGGAAGGTTTTAGGGCGTTTTTTTGGGTGGTGTGGGGGGTTTGTTGAAGGTTTTTGGATATATATATATATATATATATATATACACATTGTTTTTTTAGAAGGTTGTTGGAAGGTTTTTGTTTGCAGTTTTTTTTGTTGTGGAAGGTTATTTTGGCAGGTTAGTTGGGTGATTTTTTTGGCGGTTTTTGTTCGAAAGGTTTTTGGAAGGTTTTCGGGATCCATGGGGCGGCTTCGTTTTTTTTTTTTTTTTTTTTTTTTTTTTTTTTTTTTTTTTTTTTTTTTTTTTTTTTTTTTTTTTTTTTTTTTTTCTCTCCCCCCCCCTTCGTGTATATATGTATATATGTGTATATGTATATATGTCTATATGTATATATATGTATATATATATGTTTATATTATATTATATTATATTACATTATATTATATTATAGTATATTATATTATACTATATTATATTGTATTATATTATACTATATTATATTATATTATATTATATTATATTGTATTATGCAAGTACTGAAATGTATTCTTGATAACTTAAGTAGCGGAGCTGGGGTCCACGGACCTTGCCCGACAGGGCTGGTGAAATCCTTTTCCACCTCAGCATGAACTGAGCCAAAACTGGCTCTCCACAGTACACAAATGTCACAACAGCGCATGCACAACAATCCTCACTCAAATCACTGATATATACCTTGTTTCCTGCACTCCTCCTCGGGCCCATCTGCAGCTTCATGCCAAGATCGGGCACGCATTCTGGAAACATATCAATATCGAATCATAGCCAGCGAGTGAGGGTGCCAAATCCCGACAAACCCATCAACACTGTAGATCTTGTCCTGCCTTATGTCGTTGAGGGCGGTCGCCACACAAGCTTCGACCACCATCGCCTTTGTATATGTCGAGACGGCCCGATCCACCCGCCGTAGTCGTAGAAACTCCCGTCCACTGTCTATAGTCATAGCTGTGAACATAGCCCGAAGATCATTGACCACGATCTTGCTCGTAGCTCCATTCTTCATCGTGTCCTTCAGGCTGTACTGAGTTGAGGCATCTTTCTGTGCTGGCTGCGTGATACGGTCGATGTGCTGCTTGACTTTGAAGACTGCACTCGTTGCGACAACACTCAAAAGGGTGAGCATCATCATCACGACCGTTGTGGAAACGCCAAAATGGCTCTCATCATCTGCAGGGCTTGAGATCGCGACTGGCTGAAACTCCTTCTCCACCAACTCAGTAGCGTCCGCACGTCCAAGTTGAAGAAACGTACCAAGACCCACCAAGCATTGAGTAAGTGCTCCCATCAGCTCCAGCGCCGGCTTACCGATCTGGCCCTTCTTCTCGTTGCTTGAACCCGAAACTTCACCAACCTCACCTTTCCCAGTGAGCCATACCTTCATCGCCGTTAGGTGCTTCATGAAATCTACCCTCGAAAGATGTTTCGTCCCAAGATCTGCGGTGTTCTCGTTGGTGTGAACTTTGCTCGTGCTGACCTTCGTCTCAGCCTTGCGTGCGACTAGGTCCTTGATCCACAGATCCTTCAACTCGATGTGCCTCATCCTGCCAACTCCCTTCTTCTCGACGTTCGTGAGAGCGCTGGAGTTGTCACTCTCCAGCGTCACTGGTACAGTTTCGTCCAAGAGCTCCTTGAGATAAGTCTGTGCTCCTCTCGCCTCAATCCCGACATGCACGAGTGCGTTAAACTCAGCTTCGGGCGACGAGAGTGCTGGTGCCCCCTGAGTCTTGACGAACTGCATGATCAAAGCTCCATTGAGAAACAACTGACCACAACTTGTAGACTTCCTCCCGATAGGATCCTCTGCCCAATTAGAGTCTGCACGTCCGATAACCTTGAACTCGCCGCTGTATGGATACATGCACGTGACTGAAGATGGGTGAGCTCGAATGAACCTGATGATGCGCGTGAGCCTCGTCTGGTCCTGCACCGTCGGTCGTGACATCCCCCTCGAACACTCCTTCGCTGCGTACTGACACTCGGGCCTTTCCAAACACACGAACATGTTGAGGCCGTTGACGCTCCTGAACTTTGTGGCCGCTTTGGAATCCAACTCCTCCTCGCTCTCGACCTTCTTCTCGTTCTTGACTCCTGGTATTGGGCTCGTCTTCTTATCATTGGGCTCAGAGTCGAGTAGCTTCTTGACAATAGCAGGCCACATGCGAACTTGAATACCTTCGGGGGTGCGGAGCCAGCCACGTCCAAGGTGCTTGATCTCAGGACCACCAACTGTGAGCTCAGAAACCTTGAGTAGAAAATGTGTGCCGAGCTCCTCCAACACTTAGCTGTCTGAAACTCTGGGTCCCACCAGCGTGCCATCGTCAACGTGCTTGGACATAGCAACTTGATTAGCCTTG